TTTTTTTTTTTTTTTTTTTTTTGTTCTATTACTAGCTTATAACATAGGAGCAAAGAGTGAACCTGAACACCTTTTTGGACGTTATAATGAACGATTCGTGCCCTCCGTGCCTTATGTGGTTGCCTTTGCTACATCGTATGGCCAGCGTCGAACATGTTTATCATCCGGTTACTTGTGATGCGTGCCAGGTTTACTCATTCTTTAATGACCACGAGATTCTAGATTCAGTTCAAAAAGTTTACTAAAATCATTGCACATCTGACACTTAGATGTTTGTTTTTTTTGTACTATAATTGTTTTAGGCAAGTTCCTTCATGGGATTTCGCTACAAGTGCCAAAGGTGCACTAATTATCAACTTTGTCAACAGTGCTTTTGGAGGGGACGTACCAGTTCAACTCATTCTAATGAGCATGAGATGAAGGAGTACTCAAGCTATGTAAGTTTTAAGGAAAAGTTAGTAATCAAATGGCATCTGGCCAGAATGCACACATTTTCTCCTGCTTGGATAAATCGCTAATTCAGAAGTCGCCTACCAAACAGTTAGCGCATTCAATTCATAAATCTCTTCGGTGTGTTCCTCCTTCAAGTCGTTCAACTCATCCCATTTTTCCCGAACGTCCTCAAAGACCTCTGGACCTCACCAACGTGGTCCCCCTAACTCCATCTTCTGCGAGGTTGTTAGCTTTACCGAGCTAAACTGATAGTTATTTGAGTTAGGACTGGGGTTCATTTCCTCGTTGACAGGTTTCCTTTTTCTTCAGGCGTCAGCTTATAGAAAGCTCAAATGATTGGTCTAGTCAACTTCTACCCGGTCAGTTCCCTGTTAATGGGCTACTAATGGACGACGAACATAAACTAATAGCTCGATATTCTGCAAAACTTGCTGGAAGGACTCAAGTACTTTAATTTCATTGCATTCTTACTAACAGCAAAGAAATTTGAAGATATTATTGTTTTTACATCTATTTTTAATGGTTTACTAGCGGAATCAGCAGCCTTAGATGCATCTTTGTCGATAATTTTTAAATTTTTCTTTTTTTTTTTTAAATAACTTTACTGGCAGTACCAAGTGCTGCTAGCAGACAGTTTCACGTTCTTCGTTCTTTCTTTTCAATTGGAGTTAGTATTCTCTGCCAGCGAGATAGCCAGTATGGAAGGAATGCATTCTATAATGTTTTCGGTCAGAATAAAGGAAGCAATGAGGAAGTTTAATGAGCAGTGTAGGAGGTTTGTTAAGAACAATCTGGACCTTAAATCTTAAGATTTTGTACGTGAGGATAGTTTGTTTTATATCCGTGATAATAGTATGCATTTAGCGCGCTAAACACGGTGTTTATTTCTTAGCAGTAGATTGCATTTTTAGCGGAATTCCAAGAATCCATAGAACCTTGTGTAAAACATTATCGTGGACGACAACTACTATCCTAATCTTTTCAAAACCGTTTTTGAAAATGTTGATGAATTGGTTTTTTTTTCTGGATCGCAAGCTAACCCTACAAGCTTATCAGACTAACGCCGCTGTATTACGGAATATAGTTTTTTTAGAAGCGGAGCATACTAATTTTAAGTTGACAGATACAACAGCAACCACTCGTCGTCTTCTAGCTTACCGTTGCACTTATAGCTCCTGCAGACCAAATTTTACTTCTGAGTTTGCTTTGATAGAGGTTTTCTTTGCGAAACTCTTTAGAGCCCAGAGCTAATTTGAGCCTGGATTCCTTAATTTCGATCTTCATTTCATCTAAAAGAAAGGTAAGCAATATCTTACTCTTTTGTACGACACCTTGCCGGCAGGGCTCACCACATCAACAATTCAAATTGTGTAAAGAAATTTTTTTTTTTCATTTTAATTTACTCGTAGTGTTTTGGAATTGTGGAGCAAGCTTACTAGTTTTAAACGTCTTGTTTGAATTGAGCCATATACATTAGTTCGTAGTTTCCCCTTCCGAGTGTAGTTATCTGTGATTAGAACATCTAGTACATGTGAAACTAGTGCTGTGACGATCTGCTTGACCATAAAAGCTCACCTTAAAATAAAAATCTGAAAACTAATAAGAAATTTTTGGCTTATTTACATTGACACCTAGTGACATGAACTTGTTTATAGTATCCACTAAATCTGGCCTTGAAAGAGAAAGACCGTTACGGCGTTTACGATGAGGTTAACGATGAGCGTGCGATGATAGCTAGGCTTGAAGAAGAAAACGAAGAGATGCTTCGAGAAATGGAACATCTAAAACAGCAGGTTATCTTAAGTCTTATCTTTGGCAACTCCGTACAGTTCAGCACATCCCATCAGGAAATTTTTTGGCAGCAAGAGAAGTCTTTTACTTTGTATCAATTAACCAATTTTTGTTGACGTTTTTATTCAGTGCAGCATTACTCTATCGCAGGGGCTTTTAAAGCTAAGAGAGAGGATCATAAATCTCTGTTGCTTTTTAGCCTACTAACTTTTTATTTTCCTAGTTTAGGAGCCACTTTCTTAAGTGGAATTACTGTTACTCTACGAAGCGATTCAGTAGCACTTGAAGAAAAAATTTTGTGAGACTAATAAATTCAGAAGCTTCAAAGAAGCAGCTTTGAATTTGCGCGGAATCCGCAAAAGAAGCGAACAAAATAAATAATTTATTTTCTAATCTGCTTAGCTCTTACTGTAAGAGATGAGTTAGAAATAGTTATTAGCAGTAGCCGTTACATATCGCTTCCCCACTGCTTGGCACATTTTCCATGCATTTCATTTAGTAACAAAGAAAGTTTTTGTTTGCAAAGAGAGAAGATAATTAAGCCAACAAATCACTTTCATCTTAGAGATCTAAAATTTCTGAAAAAAAAGTTTTTGAAGTTTTAAGGAACCAATACTACAGGTTGTCAAGGGCTGGAAATTTGATAGGGAGGTTTCATTCGTGCCGTCGTCAGCGAATTCCAGTTTTAAAGGTTTCAGGAGAGGAAAAAGTTTACAATGCTTTTTTGAAAACAGATGGGAAACTTGATTAGAGCTTCTTTTTTTTATACTGCGCGCTCATTTTTTACTATTCAAGCTTATATGGCTTTTTTTTTACTCCTCACTAATCTGGATTTCAGGAACTTGATGGTACTGATGACCAGTTAAGTGAACTGCGGGAGAGGAAAGCACAGTTAGAAGAAAAAATGCATAAAATGCAACAAACGCGTCGTCAGCTCATGCAACAACTTGAATCATTGATGTTGCATCTCAATGTCTGCTTCCGATCCAACTCTGATTTGATAGATTTAGACAATTTAGAAGAAGATTGAGAAAAACTTTTGGGAGCTCTTGTCGATTGACGGCCCCATATATATATTTGAAGAGGGGCCTCGAAAGAGGCCCCTTCTTCTGGCAAGCTGCGACTGGAGCGACGTCGCTGTCGTCGCAGCTTCAAGCAGCCGAGAAGACATGTCGATCGTGTCAACCTCGGCTAAGAGCTAGTGCGTCCCCATGTAATGCTAAAAGCAAGCGCCGTTCAGTTGCAGATTTATAAACTATTGTGAGACATTATGGACGGGTTTGACCTTCTGTAGCAATAAGTTATTATGTGACGTGGAACATCAGTACGAGGCAAAGGAGGCGATAGAGCGTAGAATAGTTTGTGGAGTGGTGGTTGAAACAGGTTGTGTAACGTTCAGTGGTCAGTGAGACAGCACGTCGAGCATAGGTTGGTGGTTCATTTCCGTTAGGGGTAGAAAGGAGGTTTTTGCATGTATCTGAACATCTTTACACTGACGTTACATTTATACTGATACTTCGCTTCTC